TTGTCATCCATAGAGCTTAAATCTTTCAACACTACTTTGCTCAATTGTGTGAGCTTTCATTCTTGTGTTGTAAACTCAATTTCATTTGAGTGTTGTTCTTAAGACTTGTGTGACTCAAGTCTTGTTGTTGTAAGAAAGTGAGGCTTGTGTGATTCAAGTTCTCAAGTTGTACCGGTTTTTCAAGCACCCGTTGAAGCTTGAAGATTAGTAGGACTTTCGAGAGAGTCTCTCGGAGGACTGGATTAGCCACGAGGTGGTGAACCAGTATAAATCTCGGTGTTCTTCTTTCCCTTACTCTCTTTACTTTTTCTTGCGATAATTTTTACGAAAAACGTACATTCTTGAAAACAACTCTATTCACCCCCCCTCTAGAGTTGTACTTTTGTCTAACAATTGAAACACGCGGGCATACTCATTGCTTCTGGGGACATTGATCCAAAGCTCGAGTACGGTCCGTTATCGCAGTTTGGTAGCTCGCAAGGCTCATAACCTTGAGGTCACGGGTTCAAATCCTGTCTCCGCAACCTCTTCCTTAAAATGAGTATATCTTTTTTAGACTTCCAAAGGAATTAGAATTATAGATAAAAACTATCGAAGTGACCTCACATGGAATCACGGATAGTGGGAATCGAACCCGCCCGCACAAGCGGTGGAGCATGTGGTTTAATTCGATGCAAAGCGAAGAATTCTGGGCCAACTGGGGCAATTCTTATCGATCTATTATGCACCTTTATATATCGCTTTTGGTCGACCCGCCTTCTTGAGCTGCTGAGAGGTCTAAGACCTACCTATCCGGAGCAATGCCGGAGACGAAGCAATGACGGTATCTGGGGAATAAGCATCGGCTAACTCTGTGCCAGCAGCCGCGGTAATACAGAGGCGAAAACAAGTTTTTTTTCGCCTTTCAAAAAAAAGTGGATCAATAAACAAAGTACGACACCTATATTTATAAGAGTTGTTACTAAATTATTAGTGTTCAAGCCAAAACTCCCAGCATTGTTTGGGATTCAGAAGTTGAACAAATCATTTTATCTACCAGTAGTGGACAAAATGGAATATTACCGAATCTCTACATAAGCCAAGAGGAAGATCTTGTGCCACTCCACCTGGTCGTATGAAACTGGCATGCATCCTAGCTCCCGAGACTCTTTCATAGAATTCCAACAATTCAGCCCTATCGTTTAATATCTCATTCAATAATTTTGGTTGATCTAATCCCAAATCAAAGCAATAAGAAATACAGAAGTTGCGGTCAACAAAGTAGGGATCATCAACACACCAAACCATCCAATATAAAGACGATTTTCAGTGCTGGTTATCCAGTTATAGAAACGACCCCATAAGTTTTCGCTCTTGCGTCTATCTAAAACTACAGTCACAGTAATTTATTAAGTAATCCCAATTGACTCAACCTATCTGCCAAGCCATCCTAAATGTTTTCCACTTTAAACTTTTTCTTAAAAAAGAAAGTATACACCAACCATATAAATTAAAATTCCCATGTAGGATAAGAGTAAACTTAATGTGTATGATGTATGAACCGGGGTTTTGAATAAATGGTTTACTTTATCCGGGTTCAAATATCCCGATTCCACTAAAATTTTATTCGTAGCCTTAGGTTTTTAATAGGGCAGTAGCACTAAATGCAAGAATATTGACTTCCATAGTTCCTTCCATATCGATATCATAACTAGGATCAATATTGTCACTCTTCTCCACCTTGTCGATATCAGAAATAAATTTAGGAGGATTCTTGTCCAGTAGTCCATGATCCTGAACCAATCTTACCTGGGATTGCAAATCCCAAATTTGTCTATGAAGAGCGGATCTAATTGTATTCGTGTCTAGAATTGATTTCTTCTGTGTAATACTAATTGATAGGACCTCATTGGTCAGTGCTACAACATCTCGTACATTGGGCCCCATAGTGATGGACCCAATTTCCCCGTTCTGGCGGGGATCGATACCCTGAAGCTCTGATCATTAGGGATATCACCGGAGAAACATCTGCCCGGTGAATATGAAGAAGTAACCCGTTTTCTCGACAGAAGTGAGCCAAAGAAGTATTTGCAGTGAATCCGCCTGTTAAATAGTCAACTCGTTTCCATGTTCTTCAAAAGGATCTCTTAGTTGTTGCGACGGTTGTCCAAAAGCGGTATATAAGGCATATCCAGTAAAACTCATAAGTAAACCTGATACAAAGAGAGTCACAAGAGTTGCTAGTTCCATGAATGCCACTCGAACCCAGAGCTAGTTGGTTCTCCCCGAAATGCGTTGAGGCGCAGCAGTTGACTGGACATCTAGGGGTAAAGCACTGTTTCGGTGCGGGCCGCGAGAGCGGTACCAAATTGAGGCAAATCGATTAGTTGGATGATAGTCTCGTACCATAAAGATGGCTGCATGCGCGGCAGCATCTTCAATACATTTTTATCATAATCAAGAATTTGTCACGATATTCGTATTCACGATTTATTTTATTTTATTCAATAGGATTGAAAAACTAGAAAAAGCCTAGGCGTGTTTATGTAAGGTTGAAAACGAAGCGAAGCAGTTACGAGTTATTGGATATTCTGAAATAGAACATGAAAAGTTGAATTTGATACACACAATATAATATATAGCTTTTTTTTACCATAACCCATTGATTTATGGCTTGGAGGAAAACTGGATAGATCAAGAAAACGGCGGTAGCAGCTGCAACAGGAGCTGAATACGCAATAGCAATCCATGGGCGCATACCCAAGCGGAAACTAAGTTCCCACTCGCGGCCCATATAACATGCTACACCAAGTAAAAAATGTAGAACGATTAGTTCATAAGGACCACCATTGTATAACCATTCAGCGATGGATGCTGCTTCCCATATTGGATAAAAGTGCAACCCTATAGCTGCAGAAGTCGGGATAATAGCACCTGAAATGATATTATTTCCGTAAAGGAAGCCATACCCAATCGAAAAAGAATGTTATCCAAACGCATTTCAAGTCATTGAAGTAAAACTTTACCAGTTGAACCCTTGGCCTTTCTGGCAATTTGAACATAATTAATTAATCGTGCCACTTTTGATTATTGTTCTTATCCAGTTCAAACTATCTATGGGATTTTGGGCATAAAAATTTGGATATTTGTTGGTGAAGCCAAATAGACTTTTATTAAAAAAATCCATGTGCAAATAACAAGTTTTATAGGGTTTGGCGCCTAGCATGATTGGATGAGGGTTTGGGGGAAATAGTCTGGCTTTTGGCAAGATTGAGGTGGAGACCTGTTGCTTCCTCAAAGCCGCTAAGGAAACTTTTGAGTTTTTTGAGGTTGTGAAGGGATCCATTAGTGAAAATCAGGACATCGTCTGCAAAGGTAAGGTGGTTTACCGTTTGGATCCTTCCCGTGTTGTATTTTTTAAGACAGCCTAGACTATGAAGGTGGTTAAGTGAGCGTGTCAGCCCTTCCATGGCGATGATGAAGATGTAGGGGGGATAAGGGATCTCCCTGTCTAACTCCTCTCTTGGGATTGAAAGCTTTAGAAGAGTTGCCATTGATGAGGATGGAAACAACACTGAATTTGATGGAGTTCATGACCAGGCTTATAAAGATGTGGGAGAAGCCAAAGTGCCCTAAACATTTTTCAATGTAGCTCCAAGAGATGTTGTCAAATGCTTTAGTAATGTCTAGCTTAAGGGCGAGGTTGCCCCCCTAAGTCTTCATATCCAACATGTGAATAAATTCCCTTGCAAGCAGGATGTGATCTGTGATGTCTCTTCCTGCATTTCAAATTGCAAATTACATTGTCCTGATCCATTGGGGGGTGTTTTCACTTGGTCAGGAGTAAGGAGTAGAGGTAGAACTTGGCGAAGGCTTGATAGGGTGTTGGTGAATCTGGCTGTCCTAGCTTTTTTCAAAGAGGTTGAGCTTCATCACCTTCCTAAAGCAAGCTCAGACCATAAGGCCATATTACTCCACTTCCATGATGACCAACAACTTGGTGCAAGGCCTTTCAGGTTCATCAATTCTTGGACTCATCATGACAAATTCCTTGAGGTGGTCAAAAAATCCTGGGATAACAGCCCTACATTTGGGGGTATGAGTGGCCACCTCTCCAAACAGAGAGTTTGGCAATATTTTTGACCAGGCTAAGAAGGCTGAAGAATGTGCCTCTCTAACTCAGGAGGCCTATGATACTGATCCAACGGATGGGAACCGAGAGATTGCTCAATTGGCGAATGCAAAAATGATTCTTGCAGTCAAGAAGGAGGTGGAATTTTGGAAACAAAAGGCTAACATTAAATGGTTAGAGAAGGGAGATGCAAACTCCAAAGTTTTCCAGGCTTATGTCAGAGGGAAACAAAAGAAACTTTGCATCAACCACATTATTTCCCAAGAGGGGGTAGGCCTTCACAACAGAGAGGAGATCAAGGAGGAAGCCATCAAATATTTTCAGTCCCAATTCAGTGCTGAAACTGCCGATCACTGCCCCAACCTCATGCCTATTCTCCAACATATCCCTAAGCTTATTTCTGCAGAAGAGGATGCCTCTATCACAGCCCTACCTGACATGGATGAAGTTAGACACACCATCTGGGAGATGGATGCCAATAGTGCAAGTGGACCAGATGGATTCAATGGTACTTTCTTCAAGTGCTGCTGGGAGATTATACAACATGATGTTCTTAAGGCCTCGCAAGATTTCTTTTTAGGGATGCCTATTCCCAAAGGGTATGGTAGCACCTTCCTCACCCTCATTCCCAAGACAGACCATCCTAAAACATTTGGTGACTTCAGGCCTATCTCTCTCTCTCTCTCCACATTCATGAGCAAAATCAACACCAAAATGTTGGCAAATAGGCTCAAGAAGCTGCTCCATAAAATCATCTCTGATGAACAAGCTGCATTCCAGAAAGGAAAAGCCATTGAGGACCACATTCTCATGGCCAAGGAGGCAATTCACCAACTGGATAAGAAAGTATTTGGGGGCAATATCATCCTCAAGATTGATATGGCAAAAGCTTTTGATAGGATGGACTGGTCCTACCTGGAATCCATTCTTAAAGGCTTTGGCTTTTCTTCTCGCTCGGTTAAACTTTGTTTGGCAAATTTGAAGTCCACATTTATTTCCATTCTCCTTAATGGAGAACCAATAGGTTTTTTTCCAATGACTAGGGGAGTAAAGCAAGGTGACCCCTTGTCCCCTCTTCTCTTCATCATTGGAGGTGAAGGTTTATCAAGATTGCTAAACCACCATTTAAATACAGGCTTTATTAAAAGATACAATATGGGATCCCTCAAATGGGTGGGACACTTGGTTTATGCTGATGACCTCATGATTTTCACCAAAGGAGAAACCAGGAACCTACTTAGGATGAAGACTTTGCTGTTGGACTACCTTAGAGCCTCTGGACAGCAAATAAACTTCACTAAAAGTCGTTTCTACTCCTCCAAAACCACTTCTAAAGAACAACTCTCTCACATGGAGAAGATCTTGGGAATGAAGTCTGGCTCCCTTCCTTTCACCTACCTGGGTGGAACTATCTACAGGGGCATCCTTAGGAAAGAGCATTGCAACAACCTCCTGGAGCACTTTGATAAACACATCTCCTCATGGTACAGTAAAGTTCTTAATCAAATGGGGCGCCTGATCCTCATCAAACATGTTTTATCCTCCATCCCCTTACACATTTTGGCTGTCCACACCTTACCCAAATCGATTCATGCTAAACTCAACTCTCAAATGGCAAACTTTTACTGGGGACAGAAGGATGGCTGGCCTAAGTACCACTGGGTTAAATGGTCACACATCTGTATTCCTAAGGAAGCTGGGGGCCTAGGAATCAGAAATCTGGCTACCCTGGAGGATGCGTATGGAGCAAAACTGTGGTGGAGAGTTCATAATGATTCAGGCCTTTGGGCTTCTTTTATGAGAGCTAAATATCTTAAGCAGGGCTGTGTTAGAGAAAAGTTAACAGACTCACCCACGTGGAAAAGGATTTGTAGAGTCCATGATTTCTGCACTCTTTTTGCCAAGGGTGAAGCAGGCTCTATGTCTTGGAACAATGGGCTTTTCTCTCTAAAGCAGGCCTACTCCCTTAGAGAGGATGGTCACAGTAGCCTCTTCTCAACCAGATTTGTTTGGAACAAGACCCAGATACCAAAGTTGAGGACTTTCATTTGGAAATGTCAAGCAGGTTGT